ATTTTTTAACTCAAATAATGAATATAAAACAAGGTTATAGAGAATCAGTTAAAAAATATGGAGATAGAATTATTTCATTATTCAATAAGTACAAAGGGACTTGCCATTTAAACTATAAAGAAAATGAATGTAAAGTTTTAATAAGTAATATAAAATCAACAGTCATCAACTGTTTTCGAAAGGGATTGCTTAACGAAAAAATTCAAATTAGAGTCATAGCAGAAAGTCCTACTGAATTAGAGAGAGCAATAACGGTCATCAACTGTTTTTGAAACGGATTGCTTAACGAAAAAATTCAAACTAGAGTCATAGCAGAAAGTCCTACTGAATTAGAGAGAGTAATAACGGTAGCCGTTGAAATTGATAACAAGTCAGACCACCATCTTCGCTCTCAATCAATTAATTTTTTGACACATAATAATTTTAATCACATTCAACGTAAACCGTACAATACCTTCTGTATGTTTTGCAACAAGNTGTAATTCAAACGAAAATCAAAAAACACTCATTTTTAGCTCAAACAATTCTAAACAAAATTTAACCTTCCTAGTAGATACAGGTGCTACTATATCTCTTATTAAACATACATCCTTAATTCCCTCTAAGACCTACCTTAAAAAGGACGATATTATCACCATCAGCGGTATAAATCCAAACAGCCCTATTACCACAATAGGGTTCACAAATCTTGATCTCTTAGCGGAAGATCTCACACTTAAACCAAAAGTGCACGTCATCAACGCTGCAAAAATTTCAACTTTCGAAGGGATACTAGGAAACGACTTCCTCGAATCGCAACAAACCGAAATCAAATACAAGGAGCAATATGTCAAGATACAGGACAAGAAGCTGTTCTTCAATGGACAATCTCCCTCCAGAACCTCCTATCACGCTACCCTATAGAAGCGAAACGGTCATACAGATCAACGTTATCTATAGGGTAAAAGAAGGCGTGACCCAGGCTACACAATTCGCCGAACACATTTTACTATCTAGTGCCATGGCCACTGTGAATGATAACAAGAAGGCTCTTTGCACGGTCATCAATACCAGCGATTCAGAAGTCACCATTCTGTAACCGTCGGTAGAATTAGAGGAGAACAAACAGCATCACGAAGTTTATGAAGTCCGTTCATCAAACCAAAAGGTACCCCCCAGTCATACAAATAGGTTCGAGCTCCTCGACGAAAATCTGCACCTCGACCACCTTAACAAAGTGGAAAAAACATCGGTACGAAGGATCTGCTACGATTTCCACCATATTTTCTATCTTCCTGGAGATCAGCTAACATCTACCACAGCGGTCACACATCAGATTGCAGTAACAAATACTTCTCCGATATTTACCAAAACCTACAGGTATCCTAAAATCCACGAGGAAGAAGTCAATAAACAAATAAATAAGATGCTGGAGAAAATATCATAGAGCCATCCACATCCCCATGGTCATCTCCCGTGTGGGTCGTCCCCAGGAAGATGGACGCCTCTGGCGAAAAGAAGTGGAGGATCGTCATAAATTACCGCAAACTGAACGAGGTAACAATAGGCGACGCATACCCCCTTCCTAACATCGAAAGCATCCTGGATCAACTAGGACAATCCAAGTATTTTACAACCCTCGACCTCGCTTCTGGCTTCCATCAAATAAGGATGTCGGAAGAAGATAAACATAAAACCGCATTCAGCACGCCGTTGGGTCATTACTAGTACAACAGGATGCCTTTCGGACTGAAGAATGCTCCGGTGACCTTTCAAAGGCTTATGAACAACGTTTTAACAGGACTTCAAGGGATAAAATCTTTCGTATATCTGGATGATATTGTTGTTGTAATTATTATTAATTATTGTTCTAAAATTACAGCCCGACAAGTGCGAGTTCTTGAGGAAGGAAGTCATGTATCTCGGACACATCATTTCAGATAAGGGTGTCGAACCGAATCCTGAAAAAGTTAAGGCTATATCCGAAATCAAAACTCCAAAAACTCTGAAAGATATTAAAAGTAGGGTAAGATAACCGATTCTAGCACATAGGAGTAGGTAAGTGACGAAACGTCATCGATCGTAAACGTGTAACTGTTAAATGGTTACTGTTAAACGGTTCCTGTTACTGGTCACATGATGTTATTGGCTCTTGACGATGTCAGTGAGTGTAAGCATTAATACATATGTTGTTGAATTTATACTAGAAAGAATGCGGATTTTGCAAAGAATTTATTTGGTGGAGAGAGGGAAAGAAGTAGGGATACGTTTAGGAGGAGGAAAGAGATGTGGTTGAGTAGAAGGGAGTATAAATGAAAGACAACCAAAGGAGTGTTGCACATAAAAGGTAGAAGTGTGAAAATTGAAGTGTGTGGATGGATGTAAGTAGCGACAAATGTATCTATGAAGTGTGTGGTGGTGTAGAAGACGTACAATATTGGAATGTTGTTGAAAATGTGGAGGTTTTGGACGAAGTACATCGTAATGTCGTGTTACATAGAGGAGACTACGTGGATAGACAGCAGTACAGTGAAAATAAAGCAATGAGGTATGTAAGTGACATCAGTCGGATGAAAGAGTGGAGCGTAGCCCGTAAACTGTTTGAGTGCAAAATTAACTATAAAGCATGTTCCGCTTACGTCTTGTACTGCGATAGGAATAATCTTCGTTATCTACCTATGTGTGGGAGTTGCCGGTATGGAGCGAACAATGGTAGAATAATATCGATGTATACGCGAGTACCGAAGTCCACATTCATTGCGGATGGTGCGGAGAGATTTGCAGCTGCGAATTTGTTTGTACCCATAATCATCATTTAAGGAGGGATAGTATATTTGAAGAAGGTTATGTGAGGAAAATTTGTAATAATATCGTAAATGTTGATGGAGCGTAAACATATATATACTACAATTTGTTCTGAAATAAATGATGATGTAATGTGGAAGTAGATTTAATAAAAACAACATGTAACAGTAGTATATATGTGAAGAAGTGTGTCAAGGTCAAAAGTGTGGAAAGTGAAAGTTTGGTAGGGAAGGAAAGGGAAAGGCAATTAGGAAAAAAAGTTAGTGCAAGGACGGTGTCATCATAATGGAGCGAAAGAGATGACGTCTTTGTTCTGCTGAAGTGCAGAGTAGGCAGAAAAGTGTATGGGTATCATCGATCTCATAAAGAAGGCCCGACTTTTCGCATATGTATGAGTGAACCCCCTGACGACAAGGTCAACAGCAGGAGTTCACAACATCGACATGATACATTCTACAGCTGTGACAAAAAAGTAGAGGTGTGTTATTAAGACATTCTTGACAACAGAACCCTGTTGCAACGTTACAGCTTTGACGAAAACGTTGACAAATGTTGCATTGCAACCGGGTGATGGGTACAGTTGAATTGGTTGTTTGTCGGAATGGTNTCCTTCCATATTAAGAACTCTGCAGATCCTCGCTTCCCCCACTCTCATCTTCCTCCTCCTCCAATTCTTCTCACCCTACTCATACCCCACTCCTCCAAATCATATAAATTCCGACATCTTCCATTCCTTCAGCAGAAGACTTCTTCTCTTCAAAATATCACCATGTATTACTACATCATTTTCAAAGGTACAACATTACAAACTACCACGGCACCCTTCACCATTTTCCAAAGTGATTCTTGGACAAATTCAAATGAAATGGTGACAACATGGACCGTTTCCAGCAAAACAAGACCCGTTTCGTTCTGTCAGGAGATAGAAGACTACCTCCGTGACGTGAAAGCAGATGGGAGCGGTACTATACACTATGTCGTGTACGGAATTTTACATATTAAACATGTACATACTATTTAATAAAATAAGTTAGTTTAATTAATGTAATATTTATAATTCGTAGTTTACATTTATAACCATATATGTAACTTATATAATAAACTTTATAACAACTACACCTTCTTCTTATTTTTCGTACACCTACAATACAGTCATCTTGAAAGTATTGATCAATAAAATTGGAAACAAAAATATTTCTTCAATCACGTATAGATAGATAGATTACACATCATTATTCCTTCATGAGAAAATTATTAAATGAAATCATCTTATAATACAATCTTTTATTTTATATTACTATATTTACAATATTAATTAAATATGTTCAACAATTGTGTTTGCAATTCATTTAACTTCTGCTCCACCTCTTCCACTCGCTTTCTACCTTCCACCACCATTCTACAGCTGCTTTCACGACTTTTCTTCAGATCCTCCAACTCTTTCTCTTTCCGCTTTATTTGTTCCAAAACTGAAGCGTCCTTCATGTCATGGTCCTTTATTTCACCTTCCCGTTTTCGCTTCTCCCGTTGAAGTGTCTTCACTGCTTCTCGCACCTGCTCCACCAGCTTTGAATAATCCAACGGACCGCCCGACACTCTTCTGTTGTATGTCCGCTTCTTAGGCTTCATACTTACGGATTTACCGCCCCCTGCCGGCGTCCGCAATGTACTAGCCACAGGTACTGCTATTCTTTCCGTGGCTACATCTCCTACACATGATTTTCCTCCACCGGCTGTCTTCGTCACCAACTCATCGTTGTGGAAGAACTCCTCCCTCATCGCTGACAGCTCCGATTCGTCCAAGCTAATCACTGACGCATCTGCCGCATCACACTCTCCCAATTCAGCCATTTCACTTAATCTTTTCCTCTATACATGTCTCTTAAATATCTTCAAACCACCCCACCCCCATAACAGCCCTCACCTTCTTCATTTTCTCCCACTCACATTTTCTTACGTTGTTATAATCTACTTCGCACACGGTCTTCCTCAGTCTTTCTCGAGACACCTCTGTTACATCTAACCGATATGATTCGTTGTCCGGACTGCGATACGTCCTTTACGCGATCTGATAATTTAAAACGACATCAAAAAGCTTCGTGTCGTAAACGAGTACAGTACCATCCTAATTCCTCGCTACCGAATAAAAAACCGAAATGTGCTACATCTGCCACCTCTTCCGACCGCTGGTGTGAAACGTGTAAAATATATGTTCCTCAATCTTCGTACAACGGTCACCTGCGCACCCTACAGCATAAACAAAATTGTTGTTCACCTCTTGAGGAGGGAATCGGTTTCCTTTCCTCTGCTTTCGCTAGCAGGATTGCTTCGTTTCGTATTACGTCTGCGAAATACCTTCTATCGTATAACGACTTCTTCACCGATGTTCTCGACAAATGCGTGCGTGTTATACGTAATCAGATCCACCTCCACGACACGCTTAAAATAAATCTCGAAGTTTTTGGACGTTACGTGCACGAAACCAAACAGTTGGTTGAAATTAAATCCTTCAACACCAACAACAAAGTTGTGACTCGATCCATCGATCTTCCCAATCTTCTACAAAACTTCTTTGAGATACTTGAGGCTAAAGCGTCAGAGTTTCAAGAACGAGAGTCAGGTAACTCATCCTTTTTTAGTATACGTTTCATTTCATTTAACATTTCCCCATTTCTACAGGATGGATTTTAGAAAGGGTTCTTTTCCTTGAAATCAACTTTAACAAGTACAATCCGCTGAGAGCGTCTTCCTACATTCCGTTACCGAAACAAATTTTATTCAAGAAAGCGGTTGTGAATGTGCGAAACGACGATCACGCCTGCTTCGCATGGGCAATTACGTCAGCTCTGTATCCCGCACAAGCGAACCCGCAAAGAACTACTTCCTATCCACATTACTCACACACTTTGGACTACGACGGTATCCAATTTCCTATGAAATTAACTTACATACCGAAATTTGAATCGAAGAACCTTTGATCTGTGAATGTCTACGGGACTGAATCCGTTTTGAAAAATGGAAAGTGGACATGGGAAATCGTTGGCCCCCTTTACTACTCACCCATCAAGCGACGGCTACACTTCAATCTTCTCTTGCTCGATGATGATCTAGGAAATAATCACTACTGTTGAATAAAGGACATGTACCGTTTACTTTCTCAACAACTTTATAAAACTGGACATCGCAAATTCTTATGCGACGGTTGCCTACAATACTTCTCCACTTTACCTCACCTACATCGTCATCAGCAGCATGACTGTAATCATGTCTACACCAGCCTTCCCACCGGTGATTTCAGGATGGATAAGATGGGTAGGTTTGTCCCCAATCACATTTTAAAATTTGAAAATTATCAGAAACGTATCAAAGTATCATTTGTTGTATACGCAGACTTTGCAACCGTACTGCGAACTTGATGCTCATCAATGTTTGCAAGTGAAAAAATACTTTCCCGATCCTAATCACTTTCAACTTGTGCGACGGAAAGGTGTTTTCCCTTATTCCTACGTTGATGATGCTGCTAAGCTTGAATAAACAATATTTCCGCAGAAAGACGATTTCTTCGATAAATTGACTTCCCTCCCCGTTTCCAATGACGATTACAAAAGAGCTAAAACTGTTTAGAATACTTTTTCATGTTCAACTCTAGGAGAATACTCCGATATCTACTTGAAAACAGATGTTCTTTTGCTAGCTGATGTTTTCGAGAATTTCCGGCAAATGTGTCTCACCACTTACGACTTTGATCCTGCTCAGTATTATACAGCGCCAGGGCTTGCGTGGGATAGTATGTTAAAATTCACTCGCGTTAGTTTACAACTTCTGACTGATATCGATATGTTAAAATTTTTTCAAAANTCCTAGGAAAGACAAAATCGTAAAAAATCAGGTATCATCATATTTCATCATTTACAGCTAATATTACCTGCGCACTTGTTGCTGTGTTACCACTTCTGAAACCCCTATACCTACCACGTTTACCTTTTTTTTTTGTTTCTTATTGGGTTAATTTCTTTTTACGATTTTTAATTACTACACCCTAATTATTACTACAAACCAATTACAATACCTACATACTTACTACAATTACATTTAACACTTAACCATTCACACACTTTTCCACCGGATCTTTGGGTACATCCGCCAACTGCTGCGCCAGCTTCTGTGCACCCACAAGGAGCCGCTCATACCTCGGGCGCTTCGTTTCCACCTCATGCGCTAGGACGTCTTCTTCGAGACGCAACCTATCTTCCTCTTCCACTAGTTGCGTCTCTCTCCGATAACTGCAGGATTTCTCTTTGAAGACGAGCGACCTCGTCTTCTAAAATGGTCCTGCACTTTCGCACTTGGGCAAGCTCTGAGCTTACGTTACCGCGAGCATCGCGCTTCCTCTCCCAAGCTGACGTCAGTGACTCCATCTTTTCTCGCACATGATGAGCACTTACCATGACGCCTTCTAAACGCTCCATCCCCTGCGAAAGCGTCATGGGGGTGTCGGGCAGAGGTGGTACAGGTGATATATACCACAGAGGCATCGTCACATCTGTGGCACATGTACCTTTTCCCATCGACTGTTCCCGTTATAGCAATGTTGGAGCCGTTGTCGTCGGTGGAGGCAGCGTTTCTGCCGGGGTCGCCGTGCTTATGGTGGGCCTCGTCTCCGAACCGCTCCACGTCGGAGACGTCGTTGTCACACCATTCCGCCGGATCCCCAGCTTCTTTCTTCCCGCTGCCATCGTCGTGGTGGTTGAGGCAACGGATAACGCCGCCATAGTAGTAACGACTCCAACTATTTCAAACTTCAAAACGAAATATGATTGTTTTAAAATATTACACAATTAATACAAAATAATTTTAGTAAATATTTCATTCTACTTACAGCACCCGCCCTGAACTTCCCGAAACGGGACTTCGGCACTGCCGACTTCCTTAAATTTTTCCCAACCATTCTTTTTAAATATCCTACCGTCCACTTCGCACAACGTTCTAAAACAGAATGAGAAAATGCTCTCCACTTACCAACTGCTCCCCTCTTACCCCGCACCCTCCTACTAAACAAGTTTTTCGCCTCTCAATCACCATCGGAATGTGGTTTGCAGACGTGACGTCATCTGCACAGTTAACACCTGAGTTTTCGCGTACTACGCATGCGTCGATTACCCAATCATGCTAATCCCCATGCGCTAATGTTGTGGTCACATACTCCGTATACGCATGCGTCAGAAATCTTTGTCACGAATGTTCGCGAGTATGGTTGTTCACTCAACAAAGCTGCGCGTATGAATTTTCTGTAAACTGCCTTCCAATTTACCTGTGGCGTAAATTAATAACATATTTTCAACTATTAATTATTTATAATATAGTTATGAAATACACATTTACTACATTATCAGCTTCAACCACTTAACTAAACACTATAATTTCCCCTCTTTCCAGTATCTTCTGCCTCACTCACTCTACATCGAACAACTTCCTTTTTTCCCATTGTTTGGAGAAGATGTCCTACCACCACATCGATATGTACCGTTTCTTACACAGCCTAACAATAATTCTACAATCTGTAATTTTACGTTTGTCGATGAATCCCCTGTGAAGCCTGGCTGCAGTATACTTGCATCACACATATCTCCTGTTGTCAGTGGTCTTCCGCATTCGTAACAATGGTGATGATGTCTACCATGAACATGTAATACGAACACGAACACTAAATCGTCACATTTACAAACCTCCTCCATACACCGTCTTCTTCGTAGCAACTGCTACACAACACCAACGTTGTATTTTCATGTAAGTTTAACAACACCTTCCCTTCGGTATACCTGTGTTCGTTAATGTTGTCACACACACTACGTCTCAGAATATATTCCAATGAACAATCATTTTCCATCGAATATTTATGCTGCACATAACCCTTCTTTATACGTCTTTCGCTATAATCGCATCTGTCACAGTTGACTGGCAAAAACTGTCGGTAATTCTTCTCAATATTCAAACCAGATCGCCATGACTGTATTAAATAATCTTAATGAACGGTTCTCGAACTACGATGTTCTACAAACGAATCCCTTGCTGCCTACACCATTACTGATTACACAATACATTTTCCCTTCCATATTAAGAACTCTGAAGATCCTCGCTTCCCCCACTCTCATCTTTCTCCTCCTCCAATTCTTTTCACCCTACTCATACCCCACTCCTCCAAATCATATAAATTCCCACATCTTCCATTCCTTCTGCAGACGACTTCTTCTCTTGACAATATCAGCATGTATTACTACATCATTTTCAAAGGTACAACATTACAAGCTACCACGGCACCCTTCGCCATTTCCCAAAGTGATGTTTGGACAAATTCAGATGAAATGGTGACAACACGGACCGTTTCCAGCAAAAAAAGACCCGTTTCGTTCTGTCAGGAGATAGAAGACTACCTCCGTGACGTGAAAGCAGATGGGAGCGGTACTATACTAGGGTTTCCAACCTCAAATTTAAAAAACCAGGATTTGAAGTTGGAAAAACCAGGACAATTCAGTTTAAAAACAGGACGCATTTAATTAAATTAATCACATTTTTTAATAAAAGTATTTGGATGAAATACGAGTTGAAAACTAGTTATTAAAATATAAAACAAACACTTTAGTTTGTAACAAATTTCTTAAACTTAGGTTAGTTATAGTATCATTCTAATAATACAATACAATAATAAACACTATAGTACAATCATGAATATTTTTAAATACCTTACGTTAGTGTAGCCTGTTCATTTATACAAACAAAT